ATATATATATATATATATATATATATATATATATATATATATATTTCTAAACAAAAAAGAAAATGGCAAAAAAAAGAGCAGTTCCCATGGTACAACTGTAAGAGGAATCGTGCCTTTTAACTTTTCCAAAAATGTATCGAATCACTGTGTTTTGATGCTCGAAACGTAGCTGTCCGTCAATTTTACAGCCATGCTGTATCATTTCCGCGCCACGGTGCAAGGTAACATAGTCATGGAAAAACGTTTCCACGTATCGAAATAGCCGCACGGTAAAACCGACGCGAGGAGAATATCGATGGGGATTACAGTCGTTTCGACAAGGATCGAAGAATCCCCGACGTTTCATTTTATTTGTTAAAAGTGCGAAAGATTCTCCCATTTCGTAGTCGGAGAGTCGTTCGAGGGCCCTTGTCACGCGTATGAAAGAGTCGGCTTGCACGCCACGCGAGAATGAAGAGCGTATATCGCGCATTTCCCGCCGACACATCGATCGTGTATCGATGCTCGATTTTCCGAGTTTCCTACGGGTGTGCATGCTGGACCGGGTAATTCGCGGACACTCGATCGCTATCAAATTGAATCGTAGAGCGTCCAGCTTTATCGGCAAACCTTCTTTCAGTATTCCCTTTGCTCTTCTTCCCCTCGCCGCTCGTTTCGAACCACTGCTTTAAATACGAATGCGAGCCTGTTCGATTTTCTTTACCTTGCCGGCGAACTTTTGCTATCGGCATATAGGTATCGCCGCGACTCAATTATCTTCGCAGACGGAAGTTCGAGCAGACGTGACGAAATTTATTTCCCTTCCTCCCAAGTTAAATGAGAATTTTCCTTTTTTCTAGAGAAACAAGCGACAAGAACTAACGACAGTGTAGGTATACTTGCGTGGTATCGTTAGTTAGCTGTGATATTAATTAGAACACGTATATCTTGAAATAGAAGAGTGACACCGCGGCAACATAAAAAATTATGGATATTAATTCGCAGCTACTTGACATGGTTGGATTTCAAAGGTCTGATGTTTACTGGGATATTCGAAAGAGTAAGAGAAACTTATGCGGAATTAATTAAATTTTTTAGTTTCTCTCTTGCAAAAGACAGAGGACATTATTTACAATATCTCTTCCGACGTTTCTTTGCTTTAAAATATGATATATTCCTTCCTTTCGTACGTGTACGACATATTTCAAACATACGCTCAATTACACCCTGCAGTCGAATAAAAATAAAGCGAAATACACGAGCTGGTAACAGTCACAAGTCTTCTTCTGTTATGCACGACTGGTTAGGAAGTTAAATAACGCGCAAATATAATAAATCAGAGATAAAATCTAGTAAGAAGAAATTTTTTAATTTTTTTTTTTTTTAATTGTGCTACGGCGTAGGGGATGAAATACCCACGAGGAAAAAAGGGGTGCTCGAACGAGGCGAGGAGTGCCGCGAGTCGAATGTTGCGCGCTTGGAAAAATTCGCGCGCCGATTGTTCCGAAAGCGCGAATTTACCGCTGTGAACATTGAATAGAATTTCTCGTGTTCCGAAGGAAAAAGCGGATTTTCGCGGTTCTTTTTGCCCTTCCCGCTGCCCCGCCATCTAAATGTCGCCTTTAAACGTTCAAAAGCGTGTTCGAGAGCACTCGATGTTTTCTGCGACACGACGGCGAACGCCTCAACTTCTCTCGGAAATTATCGACATTCGCGAAAATGTACGAAGGACCCAAGGACGGCGTATTTTAACAAATATTATTAATGAAATTTCACGAGAGAAACCTGATAAATATCCTTTTTACAACGTTGATGAATTTGTGGTGAAATCTCATCGAAGAATATATTAATTATTATTAACTTGGAATTTGATTTGGGAAATCTGTGATGAAAAGTTTTAAAATCTATAACTTGTCAATTTATTAATATTATTGTGCAAGGGAGATCAGGAGGAGGAAAAAAACTGAACGTCAATAGGAACGATTAATACAAGTTAATTTGGTTTCGTAAAAATCTTTACTATGATTTCCGCAAAATCATAATTCAATCAGATGTTGATTCTTCTGCTCTTAGTTGGATATAATTATAGATACCTCATATATGATAATTATATAATATAATGAATATTTGCTCAAGAAAGAATTAAAACGTGGTATATTTTTTTTTTGCTATTTTAGAAAAGGATAAACATGGACAATGGTCATTTTCATTACGAGCCCCTCAATTACAGGGAAACTTGGCCACATTAAAATTAAACCCCTCTACTTCTCACTCGCAGCTTTAATGAGCTCGTATCTCTTTTACGGTGGTTATTAAAAGCAAACAGAGCTGGAAGAAATCTTCAGGAAGAAAGAGTATAAAATTGAGATTTCTCTAATGACCACGTTTCTCGAAAAATAATCATAATTCGTTGGAAATTTTCGTGAGACAGACGAACGATTCTGAACGAGAGAAAAACTCCCATGTAAGGGGAAATTATATCGCGATGTATGACGTTCATTTAACGATCGGAATTAAGAGAGTTGGGGAGAAAATTCCCTGAACCGTGTGTCAATCGCGCGACCTTATACCTCTCAAAGACTCGAACAGCTGCTCTTCTCCAAGAGTTCACAGATTGGGACCGAGAATTTACGCGGAGAGCTAAATGTTAAAGAGCAAACTTTTTACGCACGAGAAATGGGGTGCTATTGTTTTAAACTCTGTCACTCGTTAACAAAAAACTTTTATAATTATAGAATTAAAGGTTGACTTTGCTTAATTAATTTCTCTTGGGATTTGATCCCAAGATCCAATGAAATGGGAATTTCATTTACGTGGGATTGATTACTCTAAACTTTCAAGATAAGGAAAGATATGGGCTATCGTTAGATTTCTATGCATTCGTAGAAGATGTAAAAGTGCAAAAGGTGCACGTAATATAAAAAAATATATATAAAATATCCAAAGTACAGTGCTTTCTGTAAAATTCACGATTTTCTGTTTTTTCAATTTCATTCTCGGAAATATGAATTTGCTCCGAAGAAAACCGTAAACTTTTTTTTCTCGATTATATTCTTCAAATATAAATCATTTCTAACAGAAAAAAAAAAGAGATTAAGATTAGGAGTCCAAGTGACAAACTGTTCCCTGGTTAACAGATTTCGAAAATCTTCAGACGATTTTACAGCGGAGGATGCTTTTAACATTTTTTTTTTTTTTTCTTTTTAAGATTCTTTTTATTTTAATTAATCCGATGACTATTTCAGCGGGTTCTGTTTGACTAGTACCGTTGTCTTCGGCGAGAGATCTCTTATCTAATTGAAGTTTGAAGGCAACGCCTGGCGAGCTTCGGCGAAAAGATGAAATGAACGGTAGATTAGCTACCTTAGCTGGTCTACGAGAAGGCTTCCCGCGTTTCGAGACACAATAGGCACCTCGATGAAACGAACGCTTCTACCATGCGGATCGGAAACACTATAATGGATATCTTTGATGTAGAGAAAGGAATTAAATTCATGGTTAAAGACGAGATGGGTCATCATTTGTGAAATAATGCGATAGTCATCGTGCAATTCGGCTCGACTTTCTTCGATTGATGAAAGCTATGAAATGATATTTTATTGAAGGCAGGCAATCAATATATTCACGCTGTTTTCCATGGATAACTCGCGAGAACTTAAACTGAGAGAAAGAATATGTCTCGTTCATCACTAATAAATAGTCGATTTAGTAAATTTGTTAAGGACTAAGAGAATGGCTGTAACTTTCTTTTATTCGTCTATAAACTTGGATTAAAAAATATTATTTGAAATAATAGTTTATACGTATCCGATAACGCGACGATGTTCAATACTTATGAATGGCGGCGTGCATTAAATCGGAAAGAAGTAAGGTATATCGAAAACGAAAAATCCATTATATCGGGAGGGCAGTGCAGTATGTACAACACATAAAATTTAATTCCCGTGAATATTGGACGGATTCCATACATACTTGGCTTTGCAGGTTTTGGGGATGAACACGAATACAGACTGACGAAATATCTGCTCGATGGGTACGACGCCGGTGTACGACCAGCTAAAAATTCCTCCCAACCGTTGGCAGTCGTCTTTGGCCTTTCTCTTCATCACATAATCGACGTGGTGAGTACCGATCATTTGAATGACTTTTTTCGTAACATAAGCAAAACAAGTGTGTCCTCTACATTTCACAAATTTCTACATTTTAGTCGTCGGATGTTTTTAGCGTACGTGCAG